CCCCTGCTCTCTGTCCATCACACCAGCCAAATGCCTCAGGAAGCCCAGAGGTCATCTGAAAGGTCATGCTGACCAGTCCCCTGCCCCTAGGTCCAAGACTAGCCTACGGTGCTCACAGACCACTGTCACTGAGGTGAAAGACGCAAAAATACCACCAGAGCCTCCCATCCTGAAGTGGCCACACGCCGGGAGGTTTATCTTCCTATCTAACCTCGATTCCTCCTACTACAGCGTGGGCTTGCTTCCTCTCAAGCTGTCCTATGCGGAGATGGAGGCAGGGGGAGAAAAGCAGGTTTCCAGCCTCCACACCCTTCTGTTTGCCCACCCCCAGCAGAGAGGATGAGGGCAGGGTGTCCCAGGGTGGCTGGGCTCCAAGCCCAGTGCATGCGTGGGGCCCGAAAGGTAGGGTGAGGGGCAGCAGCCTGAGCATGGGGAAACAGCTCTTCTAGGAATTGCCCCTCCAAGTCCTCATCGTCTGCAAAGTCCTAAGTCTCAGGCTTAGAGAAGAGTCTTCTCTGGGTTCAGAGACATCTGTCCCCCATCCCATCACATTTATTGACTGTTTATTATGTGTCCGGCACTATGCGGGATGTTTTCATCTGTTGTTTCATTTAATCTTCACAACAATTCCAGGATCAGAAACGAATCTGCCCCCTGGGACAGTCCTTCCTTAAGACTAAGTCTAACCTTGATCTCTCTTACTGCGTTTCTCTGGCCCAGTCCTCCTTGGTGGTGGAGGGCATTTCTGTTCCTGCCTTCAGAGACCCTTCTCATGACCCAGTGGACTTCCAGTATCTTCTCCAGGCTATCACCCTTGACCCAGCCCTGCCCAGGTGAGGGGAGATATGTAAATAAAAGGAATCAACGCAGAGCTGAGGGCGGCATGGGAGGAGGCTCTGGGGGAGGTCCCCACAAGATCAGGAGGGGCTGCTGGAGGTAGGGGCAGGACTGGGGTGGCAGATTCTCCTCCCTCATAATGTCATGACCCCTGCAGGGGGCCTGGGCCCCACCTTCTCTGTGAGCCACAGAGGTCCCAGAGAGGCAATGAATGACCTAGTCCTTCTCGGTGACCATCTCTGGCGCCCAGGTTTCAGCACACACATACCCAGACCCCAGGGGAACGGGCAATAGCAGGCAGGGGCACAAGGACAGGACTTGCCCTGGCTGGGCCCGGGAGGCGAAGCCAGAGGGGGAGCTCTGACTCCCGGCAGAGGAGGGCATGCAGCCGAAAGCCCCTCTGCCTGTGGCAGGACCCGGCCTCCGTGGGGGTTTGTGCACCCCATCCTAGCCACAGGCAACTTTGGTGAATTCACCCAGCACATGGCTTCTCTGTTTTGACCTTTTGGAGCAGGAGTGCTGAGGGCAGGGGTCCCCTCCACTACGGCCATCCTCCCACCCTGCCCCCAGCATGGATGGAACATAGCGGTCAGACTTACCTCCCCAGGGAATGCTCAGGCCCAGCTTTCACCCCTCTGGGAAATCAGAGCAGCAAAAGCATGGGCCAATGGGCAAGGGGAGTTGGAATGGTGGGTGGGACTCTGGGCCGGGTGTGGGCGGCACCCTCCCCCTTCAAGCAGGCACCATTAATATATGCAAAGCATATGCAAATCACCCAGAAGAGAGACACAACACTGCTGGAATGTCACAAGAGACCTTGGAGATCAGCCAGCCCACGCCCCCTCATTTCACAGGTGAGAAAAGAGGCCCGGCTGGGAAGGGACTTGCTCAAGGTCACGAAGACGTTTGGGCACTGAGGAAGGATAAGAATGAGCTCTCCTGACTTAGCGCACTGCTTTCTCCACCAGGGTCTCGTCTTTGTGCTGGGGGCTTTACAACATGGCACAGGGGCCCCAGGGTGTGGATGGGGTTCCAGGCAGGCCCACCAGAGACAAGGGTGGGAGATGGAGCTGAGAGGCTTCCTGGATGCCTCCCTCCCGCCTCTGCACCTGGAGATGGTCTGGTGGGTGTGAGGGGCAGTGCAAGGGCAGCACAGCACCTGCAGGGGCTGACGGGTGGACGGGCGGGAGGCCGGAGGTAGGCAAGGAGAAATCCCAGGGGCAGGGGAGGAGAGCAGGGAAACTGGAGTGCTTGAGGCAGGGGAGAAAGAGCCCAATGTCAGGGCAAGGTGCCCGCAGTGGTGTGGGGACGGGGATGGCGCCCTCAACACACACACACACACACACACACACACACACACACACACACTCTTAAGTGCTCAGCAGCCCTTCCTGCCTGGACTCTGTCAATTATGGCACCTGACAGACCATAATAGTTAACCCAGGCCAGGCCCATCCCTTCTGAGGCCACTTTCCCACCCCCAACCTGGCGTCTCAACCTTCCAGTCCTCGAAAGCAGGGCCAGAGCTGGGGAAAGGAAGGGGAGGCAGACGATGGGAGGGGCAGTCAGCGGGAGAAAGGGGAGGCAGAAGAGACGAGGAGACAGGGTTAGCGAGAGAGACGGCAGGAAGGGCAGCACAGGAGAAATTGAGGGGCAGGGAGCTGGAGGGTAGGCATAGGGAGATGGAATGGCACAGAGGAGAGATGGGGGTGGAGGAAGACGGAGGGCACCCAGGGGAGTGCTCTGGAGCCCCCAGAACTGAGGATGATGCTGGAGCCCAGGTATCGGGTACAGGAACTCTGACCCTGAGGTTCTAGGCTGCCTGGCAGGCGTTGGGGACCATGCCCCTGCCCCTCTGCCCACTTCCCTAGAAACTACCCCCCCATGCCAGGAATTCAGTCCTCCCTCCTTCACTGCCTCCCTCCCTTCCTCCCTCGGGGCAGGCACTGCTTCCCAGGCAAATCCGAAGCCTTCATCTCCGCTTTTCAGAGCTTGAAATGAAAGAAGGGGAAGCCAGTACAGCCCTCAAACCCGCTGACGGCCAGATTTTTATTATCTTTGCTCGAATGGGCCCTAGGAAGCCAATGAGGGATTCTTCAAAGAGCGTCTGAGTGCCTCATTGAAGCCTGCACCTGCACCAGCCCCCCCCACAGCAGGCAGCCAGGACTCGGGGGGCACAACCTGACCCCCCCACACCCCCAATCCTACAGTCCAGAGCCTAGGCTACCAGGAGCCTCACCCTCAGCACCCTGTGCCCTGCAGGGGCCCCTCGGCCAGGAAACCAGGCTTGAAGCAAGACGTAAGTCTGCTGGGCCTCTAAGGCAGTCTCTGTCCCTCTCTGGGCCTCAAGGACACAAATGAAGGAAGAAAACAGATCTCCTTGCCAGGGCTTGGAGGAGATAAGTGCTTGGGATTCCTCGAAAGAGCAGCTTTTATGGCAAGCTCTGGATCCTTCCCCTGAACTCCCTGCCTGCCCAACACTCACAGGCCCCTCTGCAGGAGCTGCCCCTACCACAGCCACCTCTTCCTGTGCCCCACGCCCACTACCCAGGATGACAGACATGAACTGTTCTTCCTGGGGCCCCAAACTCAGCTCCCTCAGTTCAAATCCTCAATACCGTCTCCCTTCTTTCCCAAAAACCTAACCTGGAGTGGGGGTGGGGCTCAACAAACTGGGTACTTAAAAGAGCCCAGCCCCCTGCCTCCTAAGCACTTCTAGGGCTGGGGTTTTGGCAGAGAATGCCAAGGTTGGCATGGGCAGACGGCAGCCATGCCACCCCACCCTCTAGTTCTGACCACACTGTTGAGATCAATGCCCACAGCCAAAGAAGGAATCAATGGTTCTAATTAAACCCTTTTTCCAGGGTGGGTCCCTGGTGAGAAAGAGAGAGAGAGTGGGGTGGGGGGGGAGAGCGCATCAGAGAGGCCCTGCATCCCATCACCCAACCCAGTACCCTGCACATCTTTTAAGATGCCTGGAACCCAGCAGGGATCAGGCCATGAAGCCCCCAGACCCTCTGCGTTCGGCAAGAAGGCAAGGAGAAGGGCAGGGTGAAAGCCTGAGGTGAGGGTAGCTGGCAGAGGGGCTCATTCTAGTGACCCTTCCCCAAGGGGAGCGTCCCCCCACACTCAGCACTCCCGGAGGACCACAGTTGCCTCTTCCAGACAGAGCTCCAGGACACAGACAGTGGGAGCCAGAAGGGGGATTCGCGCCTCCATCCCAGCCCTGAGGGTCATCACAGAGAACCAGCCGTCGTGGAAAAGGCGGAAGGAGCAGGAATTGTTGTAGGGGGGTACTGGACAAAGACCCTCTTGTCCCCAAGGCAGGGTGGCAGGAAGCCAGGGCAAAGCCTTTGCACTTGCTGCCAGTGGTGCCTGGGTGCCAGGCAGTCTGGGTGGGGACGGTGGGGGTGGTGGGAGGCGGGTGGTGGGGGTGGGGGTGGATCTTATTCTTGGAACCCCTCCCCTGCCCTCACCCCATGCCTTGCTTCTACCCCAGGCCACCAGCTAAGTCTCTGCCTCAGCAACTCTGGGCTTGCCTGGAGCATTCCTCCCTGTCGGAATGTTCCTTCCTGTGTCCCTGACACCTGTATGGAATAGCCCATCAGCAACCAGAACCAGCAGAACCCCTCACATGCACCACAGCTGCTCCCTACATAACAACCACACCAGAAACTACCACCATCACAGCTGCCACCAGTGGTGACGGAGGCTCACAATCTCCAGCAAATTCATCATCAATTTTTAAAGACCAACAAGAGGGAACAGGAAGGGAATAAAAGAAACTGAGGCACGGAAGTAGACAGCAAAGCAGTTGGTTCAAGGTCACCCAGACCAAGATACCAAGAGTCGGGACGAAGGTATCCTGATGACCCCTCAAAAGTGCTCAAACCTCACCCAAAGGAAAATTCAGGCCCACAAACCTGGAAGTCTGGTCAGCTTCCCTCACTCCCAACCCTCACCTGTTTCCCCCTTCCCTGAAAGACAGCAGCTCCTCCATCTCCTCTTGAAAGGCTGCTGCCAGAAACCCTCCCAGCTCAGGAAGCCCACTTTCCTTACAGTTGGGGTGCTGCGGGATCTCCTGGTCGCACAACATTTGAGGAGAGGGGCTGGGAAGACAGTCCAGGATCCCCCTCCTTGCACACTTCCCGGCGACTGCTCACCTGGCTCCCCTCGGCCCCCAGGGTCCCTCGGTCCGGCCTCCTCCCTGGGAGAGCGGGCTCTGCCCTCCGCTGTCCTCTCCCACCAGGCCAGGGCAAAGCGCCGGAGGCACTGCCAGGGCTGCATGGGGAGGCGTGGGGCTGGGGGGCGCGCACCAGCAGCCGCACACGCCCCGCCGGGCCCTGCCAGCCGAGCTGCGGAGGCACCCGGCCGGTCCCCTCTGCTTCCACCAGCATCCTGCTGCCCCCACCGACAGGACTCGGAGCTGGCCCGGGAGCTTCTGACGTAGCAGGGGGGTGCGTGGGAGGGAAGGGGGGGCCATGGTGCGTCCCCTTCCCAGCCCCACCCTCTACCCCTCAGCCGCCTGCCTTCCTACCTTCTCACTCACCCTAGATGCCCTCCCCAGCTGGGGGCGCCCTCCCCTGCCCTCTGGCCTCCGCAGGGGGAGGGGTTAAAATCAAATAGCCCCTCCCTAAACCCCTCCCTCTCGTGGGCCCTCCCTACCCGCCGGTAGAGAGGGGAGCTGGTCCCCAGTTTCTGCAACTGCTGCTGAGGCTCAGAGGTCTCCAGGGCTAGGGCCTCGAGGTGCGGGGAGGGGGGCGGTGTGTGGAATCACAGACTTGTATCCTGGCAACGCGGCCAACCCCAGAACGCACTCATCCCCTTCCTTCCCTGGGGGCTGGCGCAAAGGGCCACCACCACCATCCCAGCGCAAGCACCCCATTCTGGGAGTTGGGTGAGGGAGGCCTTTGATGCACCCCTCACTTCTCCATCCCCTTCCCCTCCCCCTGCATCCTCCTCTTTCTTCACCTCGGATGGACGCCCGCCTCCCTCCACCCTCCTCGCCATCCATCCTCCTTCGTCTCCCCTCCTCTGCCCCCTCCACATAAGCCCCTTTACAGTTTAAACCCCTCTGGCCCCCACCCCGGGGCGACGCGAGGCCCTCCCCACCCAGTCTCCTGCCTCGCCACCCTGCCCCCTTCTCTGGTCCCAGCACTCCTCTCGCCCTGGTCCTTCTTCCAAGCCCGGCGCACAGCGGTCCCCTGCCCCCCACACACCTGCGCCCAGCATCCCTCGCCCCGCCGGCCACCGCCTCCCCGGCCCGGCCGCCGCCCCCGCCCCCGGCCGAGGGGGAAAACACACAAAGAAAACAGAAATACCTTCCACTTAAGCATGGAGGCACATTAGGGAGGAGAGAGACAGGGACATGCCTTGGGACGGAGCGTTCCCCATCGGGCGGGGGCGCGGGGGGCGGGGGCCCCGGGCCGGCCTGCCTGGCGCTCGCCCTCTCGCCGCCTCGCGGGCTCCTCGCTCGGCCCCAGCCCTGGGGCGCGGTGCCAGGCGGGCGGGCCGGGGGCGCGGGCCCCGCCGGGGTGGACCAGCTGGGAGGGCGCCGGCGGCCGGGCGTGTGGGTGCGCGCGCGCGCGCGGGCGTGTCACCGAGTGTGCGAGAGCGAGTGTGTGTGTGTGTGTGTGTGAGTGTGCGCGCGCGCTCGGGCCGGCGCGGGTGTGTCACTGCGGGCGGGCGCGCGCGCGGCGCGGGCGCGCGCGTGTGGCCGGAACGTACAAAGGGCCGCCCGGGGCGGAGAGGGAGGGGGAGGAGAAGGGGGAGGGGAGGGGGGAGGGTATTGCGCCTTCTCGCGCCCTCGGGCTGCACGGCGGGATCCCGCAGCGCGCGGCCGGGGCTGGGCGCCGGGCCCGCTCACTCTCTCCTCCCCACGCCACCTGCTTCTCCCACCCCTAGTAGTCTTCGCGCCACGATAAAGACAAATGCATTGACCGAGAACCGGCGCGAAGATGGCACCCGGGGGAGCGGGGACACCTGGAGGGTGGAGGACTCCTGGGTCTCCCAGCCCGGGCGTGCCTAGAGACGGAAAGGCTCTCGAGGCGGGGTGGGGAGGCGGAACGGCGAGACTGGGGGCTCGCTTCAGCCAAGGTGACCTCGGAAACCAACAGCCGCCCCAGCCCGGGAGCGCCTGGACCCTCCTCTGCTTCTGCTTCTGCCGGGCGACCCCTCACCCGCCGGCGCCTAGACGGGGCGAGGTCAGAGGGACTGGGCTCCCCGGCGCCCTCTGCTGGGCCGCCTCCTGGCCGCCGCTCCGGGTTGCGGCCCCTCCTGCAGGCGTGCGCCGGAACTGCAGGCGCGCGTGCTGGCAGGGAGGGCGTCCGTGCTCCTCCGGCCTGTCAGACCCCACGGCAGGGCACCCCAGCGGCTGTCCCAGCCCACGCCTCGCTTGGCGGCGCCACTGCCGCCTCTACTGCAGCCCGCAGAGCACCAGCTCTGTTCCACCCCGGCGTCCCCCGCCCCACCGCGTCCCGCCTTCGTTGGCCTACCTGTTGGCTCTGCAGACTTCTCCAGCGCTGACCCAGACCCGGACCCAGGGCCGCGCCGACACCTCGTGCTCCAGCGGCCCCCTCACTCCCTCGCTCCGATTCTCTGGCCAGTCCCTTCTCTCTCAAGCTTTCTTGGAGAGGAGAAGGTGGGCTGAGTCCCCTGCCCCTTTTATTTACTTCTGGCGTTTCCAAAAACAGTTTAGATGAGCAAGAGAGGGGACACCGTACATCTCTATTCACTATGGGCCACCAGGCAGAGTGGCAGGCAGGCAGAGAGCCCAGGAGAGGAGACCCCACCCCAAGTGGCCTAAATGACAAACCGGTTTCCCCACTTCCTGGTCTACGCAGTTGCAACCTTAATCTGGGCTCTCCCAATTTCCTGTCCACCCCCAGGCCTGCCCCTGAGCCAGCCACATGCTTAGCTAGGGACAAGGTCCCAGATGCCCCTTAGAGATCAATAACCAATTGCAGTAACTCAGGTGGCAGGGCCAGGACCAGAGGAGGAGAGGCCCTTTCCAGCCCCAGCAGGACAGATCAGGAGGACAGCCAAGAGCTGTGTCCTGGACACACGGTCTGGGCACACGACCCCAGCGGCCGGCATCCTGACTTCTTCCCTCCTGGGCCAACTGCCTTTCCCTCTGCCAACTGGATGGTGCCCATCTTTTGGCCTCTGAATGCACAGTGGGCATCCATCCAGAGCCCTGCCTGGCTGCCTGCCCAGGATGGGCATGGGAGGCAGCAGGCTCTATGTAGGGGAGGCTCAGGGGAGGCAGGGGTAGCTTTCCCTCACCACACGGACACCACCTCCCAAGCAGCTGGGAGCCCAGCGCTCTGGCATAAGCTGCTCCTTCATTCAGACTCCCCACCGACCGACTTCGCTGGACTGCTGCCCTTCACCTCCCCGCAACTCCGATTCCCCCAAGGGACAAGACTTCTTCCCTCCTCCACTTTGAGCCTAAGGGGAAGAAAATCAGCAGGTCCTCTACCCATAATCTCTAACCCTTTCAACAGCCTGACAGAAGTGAGCATTGTCAACCCCATATCAGAGAGGTATAGCCAACTGCCCACTGTAAGGGCAACAAAATTGAAATTCAAACCCACATCTGCCGTATTCCAAAGCTCCCTGCCTTTCTTCTATCACCATCCTCTCATAATCCTGTGGGCCGCCACAGCAGGCACAACCCCTGGCACACAAAATCTCATAACCATACAGTTGACCTGGGATCAAGAATGTGGCCGAGAGTTCAGATGTTTAGCCATGCCAATAATCCGGACTGGCACAGGGATTGGGGCCTGTCGTGGGGAGAGTGACCTGAGGCATTACCTCTAGCTGACACTTGAAAAGATGCTGCCAAGACAGATGGATCACAAGGTCAAAAGATCGAGACCATCTTGGCCAACATGGTGAAACCCCATCTCTACTAAAAATATAAAAATTAGCTGGGCATGGTGGCACACCTGTGGTCCCAGCTACTCAGGAGGCTGAGGCAGGAGAACCACTTGCTTGAACCTAGGAGGCAGAGATTGCTGTGAGAGGAGATCATGCCACCTCACTCCAGCTTGGTGACAGAGCGAGACTCCGTCCCCAAAATAAAAAAAAATTTTTAAAAAGAAAAGAAAAAATACTTGTGCCATCGAGTGTTGGTTTGTCTGCCAACCCCACTGGCTTGGGGTTGGGTGGAAAGGTTCTGTGAAGCAGCCCCCTGGGATGGGGGACAGTTCCAAAGGTGTCACCAGAACAAAGCATCCATTCTTGCCTGCCCTAAGGTGAACTCGCTCATCGTGAAGTCCACCTCCATAGTAAGGAGCTTAAAATCAGATGTATGTAATATATATATATATATTTTTTTTTTTTTTTTTTTTGAGACGGAGTTTCGCTCTTGTTACCCAGGCTGGAGTGCAATGGCACGATCTCAGCTCACCGCAACCTCCGCCTCCCGGGTTCAGGCAATTCTCCTGCCTCAGCCTCCTGAGTAGCTGGGATTACAGGCACGTGCCACCATGCCCAGCTAATTTTTTGTATTTTTAGTAGAGACGGGGTTTCACCATGTCGACCAGGTTGGTCTCGATCTCTCGACCTTGTGATCCACCCGCCTCGGCCTCCCAAAGTGCTGGGATTACAGGCTTGAGCCACCGCGCCCGGCTGTATGTAATATTTTTAATGTGGAAACCTCAATTTAATGATGAACCCTTAGCATTTCTGATCGTCTGCATAGCTGTAAGCTCATTTGAGACCCTTCTCCCCTCTCCTTCCCAAAGATGCTTTGTCCACACCCACCTCACCCAGCTGACTCCCTGGGTCCCCCAAAGGGGTAAGAAGGGATTCTCCCTGAATAGAAGCCAAGGCCCCAAGGCTGAAAGTGGAGCCAGAGGACAGATGACCTGGCACCACCACCCCTCACTGACCCAGGAAACATGGTGCCTTTCCCTCCTCTCATCAGGTCTCAAAAGGAGGGGTTCCTGGTAGAGTGAGAAGGCTGGGGACACCAGCTCCACTGATCAGGGTGAAAGCAACACAGATATTCCTTCAGCTGAGAGACGAGAATTGCTCCTATAAGCTGGCATGGTGCCCAGGCACAACCAATGTGCCAGCTGCCTCCACCTGAGATGCCTCAGGTGCCACCCCACCCCCACTGTCATTCCTCGACAGGTAACTTCCCTGTGGCCTTCCTCCCCTGTCTCTGGCAGTGTATTTGGTCGGGAGGGACAGCTGGCATGTTTGGGTGGGGCTTGGAACAGCAGATCCTAACCACTCACCTGGCCTCCGTGCCACCCAGCCGTCACCTGTTCCTGGGAGCCAGCGAGAGACAGGTTATGGGGGTGCATCCCAGAGGAGTGAATTCTCAGCCTTGCCTCTCTTTCCCCACGATGCCATAGGAACAGGGGTTGCATCTGGAACAACAGCTGGGCAGGAAAAGGGAGATG